CCACACCTACTCTAACAGGGCCACACCTACTCCAACAGGGCCACACCTACTCCAACAGGGCCACACCTTCTCATAGCGCCACTCCCCAGGCCCTGCATATACAAATCATCACACTCTGCCAATTGGCCCGAGTTCAAAGAAGCAGCAAGAAGCCATCAGAAAACCATGTTTACAGCAGGTTTTTGATGAGTTTCTTTCTATGGTGTCATCACACGCAGATCTCAATTACACAGTGTAAGGTGGACCAATACATTTGTGTTGTTAGTGAAGAATACCAAGGTGGAGTAAAGCAAACCATTGCCTGAGCCCCCACTGTCTGTGGGGTCATATTTATATTCCTTCCTTCATCACATGTCCTTTCACATGTTTGCTTTCATAAAAATATCCTTTCACCTGTGTCTGCTTCAGCGAAACATCATTTGACATAATTGACTTTCCAAAGAAACCAGAAGTTTCCACTTCAGTCTTCTTCACCACAGTTAAGACATTTGAGAGTTTGGATTTTCTCAAAACTTTTATAAATTGCTTTTCCTATTAAAATCATATCATATGAATGAGATCCAACATCAACTATTTTTCTGATCCGTTCATCTATTGGCGCTGATTTTGCTTTTGAGCCACTGATCACATTACTGCATTCAGCGTTAGGATTTTCAAAAGCTGCCGATTTAACTGATGCTTTCTAGCTAGCAGATCTGATATACTTCTGTGTATAGCTGAAGTCAATCTCTGTAAAAACAAGCTAGTGAATGTTTCTTTAGGGCCTTGAATAATCTGAGTAAATGATTGAAGTCTTTTTCCTGTTTCTTTAACCCTTTACAGCATTTAGGTCTGCCGTAGGACATAATGCAAAAGTTGTTTCATCATGTATGACTTGCATTGCGGACATTCGCCTAGTAGCTGATCTTGAGAATTAGCTGGCTCTAATTCTCTGATCTGTCTCCCTAGCCTCTTCTGTCTACCATGAACGTCATTGTAACCGGGTTCTAATATTGTTCTTGTCATGCCTTTCGAGTCTTGGGAGATTATTTTATTTTGAATTGCCTCGGAAATTAGTACCTGTTTTACAAATGGTAAGTGCATTCTGAATTTGTTACCCTTTATATTTTCTGAAATCTAGCATGTCTACAGGTTCTACAGGTTGCCACCATATTGTTTATAACCTTGTTGATTTTTATTGTCTTCTGCTATTTGTTGTATACTAACCAAGTAAGCTAAGGTTTATTTTCTAACTTTGTTTTTCTAATTCCATTGTGTGGTAGTGCATTAGGCTCTGACTTTATTTCTTTTGTCTGTATCTTAGTACCTTTCTCAACTTTGTTTATAATGTAAATTTCTCTTCTAAGACTGTCCCCATTTCTCATATCTCTCTTCTTGTATTTCTATTATCTTAATATTTTCCTTATTTTTATTTATAATGTTCTTTTTAACTTTTCTCCTAATGTCTGTCTCCATTTTTATATTTCTCTTTCTCTTGTTCTAATTTTTCTTCTAAGGCCTGTCTCCATTTTTTATAATTTTTCTTTTCTTCCTCATTTTTAATTATAAAATTTTCGATTTTTAAAAAAGCTCTCTTTTTGAGAAGGTATAAGAAGCCACTATGATTGCCAATATAAGGTATATGGTAATAACCATAATTGGTAATGTGTCCATCTCAGCTGGTTGTCTCTTTTTCTTTTTTTCCTATCTTTGAACCATTTCAAAAGGCATTAGATAAAGTCCAAAGGTCCTTATTACTGTGTCTTTTATCTTCATATGTCTTACTTCTTTAAATTTATCAATTTTAGATTATTTATATCTAGCTATAAATTTTCATATACAGTCTCCTTCCTTTTTTAACATTAAAACGTGATTTTTAAACATCCTTTTTTTACCTGATTGGAAGTTCTGTTGCTTTTGGATTACTTGTTTGCTGTATCTGTTCAGATGCTGTCCTGTGCTTGGCCATACCCCTGTCTTTAAGCTCACACACAAGAGGTGTTCTGCCTTTCATCTGCCTTTCAGCTGCTTCACCAGATCGGACCCAGCCTCGGTTCTAGAAAGTTGTTCTTTGACCTAGCTGTTAACAAAGCTTCTTAAAAAAGAATTGCCTCTGCTGTGTATCTCTGAGGAGGGTTTTGTTGTTGTTGTTTTGTTTTAGCTCCAGGGGGTCTATTCAAGAAGCCTCTGAGCTCCAGCCTGAACTCTGACCTAAGTCACCAGCCCCATTATAGAAAAGACCTGAGAGGGAGAAGAAACAGAGTTCATAAGAATGTCACCCTCACTTTCTCTGAATCACATCTAGCAGTGGTCTGTCCTGTGTGGCATGGTCTACCCTGAGCATGTCCAAATTCCAATCTCTTGGGGTGACAGAAGAACACAGACAAACAGAGAGGACACACATTTATTTTACCATGTGCAATGGAGGCCTGTGGAAATGGGGCTTCCCTACATTGTGTGCTCTGTTCTATGCTCTGGAGAACCTGAAAAGGGATTACAGAAAAGACTAACCTGGGAACCAGCTTTCCTGGGGACTGGAACCCAGGATTCTGTACAAGGGCTTCTGCATAAGGAAAAAACAAGGGTTCAATCCCTGGTCTCTCATTACAGAGAGCCCTGTGTAGATCCTGCAGGCTCCGCAATAGGTGGAAACAGCTTTCCCAGCTCTTCCTCAGGCCCTGATGATAAAGCTGCTTGTGGCAGGTTGTGGCAGGATTTTCCCTGTCCTATTACGTTAAAATATTACTGCAGCAGGCCTATGATAGGAAAAAAGGAGGAGAATAGGAGAGAGAGAGAGAGAGAGAGAGAGAGAGAGAGAGAGAGAGAGAGAGAGAGAGAGAGAGAGAGAACCTCTCAGGTGAGAGAGGAGAAAGAATCAAGATGGAGAACGACAGGAAGAAGATCCTGAACCAGCGTGCCTTTAACTAGTCATAGGTAGATATGATTTCATATAGGGATAGAATGATTGGGATAACTTGTCTAATCTATGTGGGCATCTTGTGATTTGAGAATGGTTGCTAGATAAATCTGACTGATTAACTATAACCTTCTAGAATTTTGATTTTACCTGATTACTGGGTATTGTGATAGCTAATCACGAGGTGGGCGGTCATTAAATGGGACTGGCGTGGTAGTGACCACGCCAAGGGAAATTAGCGAGTTGGGTGGAGACGTCTTGGGGGTCTTGGGCCATAGAATCTGCCGAGATGGAATGTGGGACCGCTGACCAAGGGGGTTATGGCTGACAAGGAACTGGCGGCCCCAGAGACCAGTGAACCGGAGCTGGGAATACCGTGATCGATTGTGGCGGGGGCTTGCTAGACAGCAGGACCACGCCAGACAGAGAGTTGGCGGCATTAGCAACAGTTGCAGGAAACCGGCCGACCTATTTTTTTATTATTAATTCCCATAACAGCTGATGACAAATAAATTTGGCCTTCTTGTGGATCTTCCTGCCCGGGTGGCCCACTTCCTGTTCAACTCCCACAGGAAGACCCTGATTTCAGAGTAGCCCATGAGCTACGGGCACGACCTGCAAGGGCCAGAGGGCTGTGATGAGTGCCTTTGATGCAATGTACACACGCATCTGAACTCGTCTTAGGGACCCTTCCTGCACACTGACAAGCCAGAAGTGGCCTCATTCAGTTACTAAGAGATTAGGAACAGTTGCTTGCAATCCCAGGATTACTATCTGTCTTGCTCTTAGCAGCGTGGAGCACACTCACACGTAAGCATAGATCTCTTCAGTTGTAGAAAATATATTACAGAATAGAAAGGGCTGTCACAGGACAAGTACTACCCGGGGACATTGTCCCTGCTTAGACTCAAGGCTCCTCTCTCCCAGGGAGGCACTAACAGCCTCCAAGACAGGGTTTTGTGCAAGAAGGACAGAAACCTGAAACCACTGAGTTCAAGTCTATTCTTGACACAGCTGTCCACATCTGGAGACTTGCATAAGTCTGTACATCTCAGGAAAAACAAATATGATAGAAGATTTTGTTTTTTCTCAGAGTTGCCTCTGAATACCTGAGGGATTTTGTTCTGCGCCCTTCACACTACTTCTCATGTTGTTTAAGCGTTCTCCTTGATGGCTTTCTTTCTAGGCTGTTATTTTCTTTGTGGTGGTGTGTAGGAGTTGTTACAGGATCTTTATATGTCTGTCTTTCTCAACTGTGACTCTGCAGTCAGCTTTACAACTGTAAAAATAGCTTCCTTGCCCTTTACAATGTTGGGGTCTGGCAATCACTACAAACCACTCAGACAGATCTCGGTCAAATAGAGATGGTTTATTGAATGCCACACCCCAAGACTGATCTGATCTATCAGGGCCACAGGTCAGAAGTGGGAGCTGACTACAATGTTCTGTCAAGATCCTATAGAGCTTTTTAAGCCTGAGATCTACAAACATCTGTGCCAAGTTATTCTGCCAATCGAGATTTAGGGATAGGGGACTTCCTTAGGACCATATCTTTTTTGTACACTTCTGCTCTCATTTATAGGGATATTCAACTGTGACAGGGAACGTGCCTAATCTAACATTCATGTCTGAACTTGCCAAGATAAAGACAGACAGGAAAGGGCAAGTCCCAGGGCACCAGGGAATGAACATTCTGCTGTCCGTCTTTCCTTTTGGACTCCACTGTAGTGACAAGGATGAGGCATGAGAGAATCACTATAAGGACCTTTATTGAACTCCACATTTTTTTTCCTTTATGAGGTAGAGAAAGATGCCCACACCCACAAGGTTTCACAATCCCAGGGTTTTCGGAAAATAAACAAAGAAAGGCCACTTGTCTTCATCGAGGATCTTGGTGTTATTCTGCGGTGGGCCATAGCTGCTGTAAGCTAGGGTCTCCTGGGGCAAAGTCAGGAAGTAAGTTTGGAGATGACATTGAATGGCTGGGGTTCCAGCGTTCCCCTCTTGGAAACAGGGACTCCTCCCGTGACATCATTGGTAGTGCGTTCCCTTGAAGCTGTGCAGAAGGAACAGCAACACCATAATCCCAAGGCTGGTTCCTGGGAGTTTGAGGGTACATGGAAAGTGGAAGGTTACCAGCCCCATCATTGAGAGGACCTGAGAAGAAGAAGAGAGTCTTCATGAGCATGGGAGCCTTACTCTCCCTGAATCATGTTAAGTGATGGTCTGTTCTGCGTGTCAGGGTTCATTCTGAACATGTCCAATTCCTATTCCCTTGGGGTGACAGAAGAATGTTGACACAATCAGAGGACAGACATTTACTTTTGTCATATGCAATGAAGGCCTGTGGGAATGGGGATTCCCACACTGTGTGCTCTGCCCCATCCTCATGAAGGACAGGTCAGCTGAGGCTGCTCTCTACAGCACTTGAAAGGTCAATGAATACAGAATAGACTAACCTGGGACATGGCTTCCCTGGGGACTGGAGCCCAGGATCCTGTACAGAGCCTCTGCATAAGGAGAAAACAAGGGTTCAATCCCTGGTCTCTCGTTACAAAGAGTCCTGTGCAGATCCCGTAGGCTCAGCAGTAGATCAAAACAGCTTTCCCAGCTCTTCTTCAGGCCCCGATGATAGAGGCGTCGGCAGAGAGCCCTGGTTTTCTTGTGGATCTTCCTGCCTGGGTGGCCCATTTCTTGTTCAACTACTTCCCACTCTAGCAGGAAGACCCTGATTTCAGAGTCAGTCCATGAGCTTCCCGTAGAACCTGCAAGGGACAGAGAGCTGTGATGAGCACCTTTGACGCCAGGTGCATATGCATCTGAACTTTTTGTAGGGACCTGTCCTGTACACTGACACATCAAAAGTGGCCTCATTAAGTCACCAGGGGATTAATCACATGCTTGCAAGAGTAGAATTTCCATTAGTTTGCTCTTAATAGCATGGAATAGCTGGGCGGTGGTGGCGCACACGTTTAATCCAGCACTTGGGAGGCAGAGGCAGGCGGATTTCTGAGTTCGAGGCCAGCCTGGTCTACAGAGTGAGTTCCAGGACAGCCAGGGCTACACAGAGAAACCCTGCCTCGAAAAACCAAAAAAAAAAAAGCATGGAGTAGCCTCACTTGCAAGTAGGCTTAGGTGTCTTCAGTTGTAGAAAATATGTTACAAAATAAAAGGGGCTGTCACAGGACACGTGCGACGTGGGGACATTGTCCCTGCTTAGACTCAAGCCTCCTCCCTCCAGGGGAGTGCTCACAGTTGCCAAGACTTTGGGTTTGTTGTAAAATGTACAGAAACTTGAGACAAATGAGTTCAAGTCTATCCTTGACACAGCTGTCCACATCTGGGGTCCTCCATAAGTCTGTACGTCTCAGGAAAAACAAAACAAATATGATAGACGATTTTGTTTTTACTCAAAGTTGCCTCTGAATACCTGAGGGCCTTTGTCCTGCCCGCTTCCCACTCCGTCCCACATTGGATCCTTCAGTGTTTCTCAAACTTTCGCCTTGGTTTGCTTCTGTCTGTTCAGAAATGAATAATGAAAACATTTAAAATGTTATCATGCAACAAGAATCTGTCCCTCAGTCGTGAGCAGATTCCAGAACCATCCTCTTGCAGCTTTGCAAAGACAATGGACTCTTCCTTCCTGATCTACAGATGCTCGCTCATTCTCACCTAAGGGGAAACCTTGGTGGTGAAGTGTAGTCAGGGAAACCATCCATGAATATTGGAGGAGCATCCTGTTGGATTGCAAGTTAAAAACCAAAGCCCCTCTCCTTTGAGAAGACTTCAGCCACTCCCTCCATTTCATCCTCTTCCCAAACTCCTGTTATCCTAGTGCTAGAAATCCATATCAGCAGCTCCAGCTATGCTACATAGCAGATGAACCATATGTCAAATAAGCAGGAAAAACATAACAAAGGCGCTTGGCACATGGCTGTAATTCCAGCTCTTTCCCAAGAGATGGAGGCAGGTTAAGAGGTTCAGGATCATTTTGGCTGTAGAGTGGGGTGTGGGCTAGCCATGGATCTTTGAGATGCTGCCTTAACAAAGGAAAAACCGTAGAGGCCAAGAACAAGGAGAGGGGCAATTTCTGTACCTTTTCAAATTGGGGACATGTGCTCATGTTCAAGGTAGTTAACCATGTTTTTCCAAGGTGGACAATGAACACAGTCCCAACACTTTCAATGAGGCTTACTATGAACATCAAACGATTTCATGACATAGATACACTTTTGAGCTACAAAGTTTCTGAGATGAATTGAAAGAAATTCAAATTTTCCAGCAATCCCCCCAGAAAACACAGGCATTGAATCTCCCTGTCCAATTAACCTGCATTTTCCTCCCACAGCTTCAGTGTGCTCCACAGAGTCTTGGAACTGGGGTTTGCTGTGTCCTGGTGAGTGGTCTGGAGGGTGTAGGTAGAGCTGTACACACTTCCCCGGACTTCTGGAAGTCTGAGAAGCAGGTGCAGATCTAGTTCTTTATAAAGCTCTGGGATGTGGCTGAATCAGCCCCAGCCTCCCTGGATGTATAGGGTGGGTCAGCAAAGGTTAACTAGGAGCCTTTAATCTCATCTCAGGAGGCTGAGCCAGGAAGATGATCCAGATTTCTGGAACTCTTAGATATATAGCAAGGCCCAGTATCAATTGAAAATATCAAATTCATTAAGTTAAACAAGGTCAAGTAATTAAAATTTCTTTTTGTGTTAGGGTCTCTTTACATTGTTCTGGACATCGTGGATCTCACTATGTAGACCAAGGTGTCCAGGACATCATACTAATCTACATGCCTCTGGTTCCCTGTCCTGAGTTCTGGAATTAAAGGTATTGGCTACCAACCTAGTCAGTTTGATAATTTGACGCATTTGCTAAATATTTTCGCTTCATCTAAACTTTGATTGATGAAACCTGAAACATACAGAATGTTTTCTAGTGCACTGTTTTGTAACTAAGAACTGTCTTTAAGATTGTAGATAATCCATAATAGTTGGGGAAGTGGTGTCTCGCAACATCTTCACCAAGAAGCACAAAGATCAAAACATGGAGACTAGGAGTCTCAGGACAGTACAGCCTGTGGGAAAGGCAGGTGTAGCGCAGCAGTGGGTCCTCCTGTGGAAGAGGCCACACTAGGTCTGCCAACTCGGGGCCTGGCACTGAGCCCCACTGTCTTTCATTTCATCTCAGTTCTGTTGACAGCCTGAATGACTGTGTCCTGAACTCTTCCCTGCTCTTCATATGCACCCAGTTGCTCCTTCTAGCAGGTGTGATGGGAAGGTCTTGGCACTGTGTTCACATTAATGCAAAGGAAACTGAGGGACAGCATGGGCTGAACAGAGACCCATGTCTTTAATTTTCAAGGGTAGAAAAAAACAAACCCTCATTCTGTTCCTTGTTAGGTTTTCTTGGTTTGAGTTTGTTGAGAAAATATCTTACATAACCCAGGCTATCCTGTAACCCACTCTGTAGACAGAGATGACAATCAACTTCTGCCCTTCCTGTCTTGATCTCCCAGTTGCTGGGGTTACAGCCAGGAGTCAGGCACTCATATCATGTGATCCTGTGGAGGAAAAAAACCACTGGTCATATAGAGCAGCAAGGCTGGCACTCACTAAGCAACTTTAATAGGGATTTTAAGCTCCATGACAGGAGAAAGTCAACTAGGAAGACCAAGTGTTAACTCCTCAAAGAAGAGAGGCAGCTCTTCTTTTTTCTCTTCTCTGTTCTTTGTCTTCCTTTGGAGACTCACACTGTCCCTTTATCATACTAAGCAACTGTGTGGCCTGTGTGTTGTAGTCCAACAGTGAACAAGTCCTACTGGTGAAGAAGTCCTACTGACTTCTTTCCCTGAGTCCTAAAGTTAGAGATTGAATCTCCTGACCCAGTTATTTATCCACCTTTTTCTTCTTTGTGTCTTTTTGTGTTCCTTTAAACTACCCTGTCTTTCACCTTGAGAACAGGGCCACTGAACCAACTAAGCAGGGTGCATATGGGCTCATGTTTCTAAAGCAGCAACTGTGAGCCTGTACGGTTCTGCATCCTCTGTATATATTTGTGGCTCTTAGCTTGATATTTTTGCAGGACCCCTAACGATGGGAGCTGATGTGTCTTTTACTCATTGGCCTACTCTTGGGACTCTTTTCCTCCTCTTGGGTTGCATTGCCCAACCTTGTCTTTAGTTTGTTGGACTGTCTGTTTTACATGTTTAGTAACAAGTCTCACTGAAGTGTGTTCTTTTCTGAAGTGAGAACCAGGGAGACTCTATTGAGGGGAGAGGGCATGTGGAAGTGGGAGGGAACTGAATAGAGTGGAGGGAGGGGAAACTGTGTTCAGGATTTATTGTATGAGAGAATCTGTTTTTAATTTTTTTTAAAGTATTACATTGTCCAGCAGCTCCCCCCACCCTTTTATCCTTCTTTCTACCATGACCCAGGTTCTCAGCTATGTTTAGAAACTGCCCTACCAGTTGAGCTACATAGTCCCTTGGCATCTTTTCAATCATGGGTACAGGGAACATTGATCTGAGCTATTCCTTAGCTTAAGCTGAACATCTGAGATCTTTAGTCAGTCTGAATAGGAAACATCTGTAGATCAGCAATTAAGAATTCCTTGTTTTACAGATGAAGTCAGGAGTTAATTCCATAATCCATGCCCTGGTATGTGACTAATGATTCCTATGGAGTGAAAATAGTTTTAATGCTTTATTTATTTGTTCATTTATTTATTTTACTAAACAGCAGCAGGTTAAGTTGGAAATTGAGATGCAGACAGCTGAGGTGATGTCAGAACTGTACTCAGGAGTCTGGAATCTCTGTCTAGTCTCACATGTATAGGCCCAGAGGCTGTGAAAGGCTCAGTGTGAGGGGGGCTGGATGTCACCCCCACTTCAGGCCAGCTCTCTTATGCAACCAGAGTCACATCAAAGTCCTGTCTTTTCTTTTCTCTGCTATTCTTCTTCCTTCAGAGACCCCTACTCTCCCTTTATCATACTAAGCAATTGTCTGGCTATTCAGAATCCCGGGGCTTCCTAGAGAGCCTTAGTAATCCTTCCAGGGTGAATAAGGTCAGGTCTGGCTGGTCAGTGTGCAGGGAGGATCCCTAGAAAGTGCTCAGATGTGCGTGATGTAAAAATGTTCATTGCATTTCTCTGTCCTTTCCAGGTCTTTCCATCAGTCATGGGGTGACTGAGAAATTTGGGCCTTCCTGCAGTAGTGGGAAGTAGTTGCATGGGAAGTTGACCTCCCAGGTAGGGAGAGGCACAGAGCTATTGCCCAGAGGCTCTATCACCTGGGCCTGAGGAAGAACTAAAGGGGCTGTTTCGACTTGCTGCTGAGCCTGTAGGATCTGAACTAGACTTCTTGAAGCCAATGAAAAAGACCAAGCAGTGAACATTTGTCTTGTTCTTATGCAGAGGCACTGCCTAGAATCTTTAGTACATATGGGAAGATGGTGGCCTCCCTGGTTTTTCTCTCCTATATTCACCTTTCAAATCCTCTCTAGCTATGCTGGCTCGACAGAATGTGATAGAGACTTCTACTGGTTCTCTCTGTGCAAGAGTGGAAGGCCTTTTCCACTCTGCAGACTTCCTCTGTCTACCTATTTCTTGTTTGTTCAGTACCAATATCATGGTCCCTACTGGTGCAGGATATTTGATCATGTTGTGAACCCCAAGACTGTGAACTGTTTCTAATTGTGGTGTGGCTCAGCCTTTGATCCTAGAGTTTTCTATTTACAGTAAACAAATAGTTGTGTGGCTCAGCCCTAGCACACACCATTAATCCAAGAGCTAAATAAAGTCAACCAAGAGGCAGAGCAAGTAACCAGCTGACTGGAGTGAACGTAAGTAAACAGAAAGGAGGGTCTTTGAGTTGAAGGGTATTTAACACAGTGTAGAGGAGAAAGGGCCTTCTCCTCCTGAGACACTGGTAGAACTCTTTCCTTCTGAGACATTGGTGAAATAGGAAGGTCAGATGGGTGGCTTCTCTGCCTCTCTGAGCTAGCAGGCTTTCACAAGCGCATTTGGCTCCTGAGTCTTCATTTGGTAAGTTAAAGGGCTGGGATTTTTGTTTTTAAAAACAACACCCTAGGGGTCATGCATGCTAGGGAAGCATTTTACCATCTGAGAGAAAGACAACACATTTTAAATGTTGAGAAAATACAGTAAGTAGAATTGGGAAAGCCAATATGTTGAGTTGTTTTGTTTTGTGGGATAGGGTCTCATGTAGTCTTGGCTGCCTTAGAATTTACTATGTAGCCTAGGATGACCTTCACAGGATCCTCCACCCTTTACCTCTCACATGCTAGTTCAGAGCTCTATACTACTGATCTTGGTGTCTGGGATTTATTTATTTATTTAATGAAACTTAGTCAATACCACCAATTTTATTCAATTAAAAATAATTGATGGGGGCTGGAGAGATGGCTCAGTGGTTAAGAGCACTGACTGCACTTCCAGAGGTTCTGAGTTCAAACCCCAGCAACCACATGGTGGCTCACAGCCATCTTTAATGAGATCTGATGCCCTCTTCTGGTGTGTCTGAAGACAGCTACAGTGTATTCATATATAATAAATAAATAAATCTTTTAAAAAAAATAACTGATGGAAGGGACCCAGAAGCTCAGTAAGGACGTTTTCTGCCGACATTATCAATCTTAGTTTGATCTTCAGGACCCACATTGTAGATGGAGAGAACTGACTTCTGTATGTCTTTCTCAGACCTCCAAATTGGTGCTATGGCGTGGGTTCACTGGCCACCCACTCTATAGTCTCTTGATAGATTCAGTTAAATTTTTTAATGTAGATTTTAGTTAGATTAATGTCGGGACATAGTGACTAGTAATATGTGACAGCAGTTTTCCATTCTAATGGGGGAGTAATCTAAGAATCCACTATTAGAAGGAATTCTACCTTCTCCGTAAACTTTTGAGCATCACCTAGTCAAAGTTTTGGTAAATGGTTTATCTCTTGCAGTTTCTGGAGCCAATATGCTGAGGAATCCTGAAGGCTGACCAAGTGCCTTTGGCAAGTATTTCCAAAGGGTACATGCATCTGTGATCTAGTTCTCAATCTGAGACCCGTTCACTGATGGGTCAGACTTAATAGCTCACACCAGAGATGCCAGCAGTTAAGAAGCTGTAACAGGGGGAGTTCTCTAAGTTCCAGGCAAGCTTAGACTAAATAGTAAGTTCCAGATCATCCCTGTCTATACAAAGACTATCAAAAATGAGAAGGGAGTAGAAGAAGAAAGAGGAGGAGTGGGGAAGGAGAGAAGAAAGACACATATAATTAAAGGAGGGGTCCAGGGCACTTCCTGTATTCCCTACTTCCGGCCCACTCCATATGCCCTGCGAAGTGCACTGGGAACTGGGATGCTTTCGACACTGTTTGACTGAATCTCTGTTACTTGTGTCCTGTTTGACCTTCTCCTCAGGGAGTGTTAGGAAACCTGGGGGAAAGTGGCATACTGTCCATCTTGGGCAGTGTGGGATGCCTGTGAGAGAGATCCATTGTGACTCATGGTGTGGCCTTTAATAAACTTTGCTAAATGTGAAAGGATTCATTGTTTCATAATGGGAGTTTCAGAGACAACTCACCTTGAACAGTGGCTTTTAACGACAGACCCTTTTGGCCTTGCCAAAAGATGGACTCCACAACATTTTCCTCTAACTGACTAAGAAAAACGTAAGTTGTTTTTTACTTTGTTGCATGAATGGAGGCGGTAAGTATGACAAGGAGATGGTAAGCTCTCTAGAGCTAGGAAGGCTGAGGTTTGAATGGCATTTTCAGGAGTTAAATCTGTAATTAGAGCAAGGAGCTAATAATCACTTCTTAGGGTTGTCTAGATTACTAAGACTGTCTATAAGGTGATTGGCATAGAGTATTTCATTAATCTGGTCATGACAGCTCATATTTATGACCCCAGCTCTTGGGAGAAGGAGATAAGAGATAGGAGGACTAGAAGTTCAATCCTACTGAGTTAGACAGTATTTATGGTGTTGGATTCTCAGCAGGTTTGATTTTTGAGTTTTGACCTCACGTAGCTCAGACTGGCCTGGAATTCCTGATCCTCCTGTTTCTAAATCCTAAGTGTTGGGATTTCAGGCCTGAAGCTCAAAAGCCCAGTCCTCTGAAATTAAATATATATATTTATCAAGAATTTATGTCTTCTGACCACAACTGTCTGTTGAATAACTGTAATAGAAAATGATGAGGCGGCCATGGTTGTAACTGGAAGAATACTGTCAGAAGTCTTAGGGCAAACCTTCCCATTCCTTTTGATTTGCTGGCTGAGAAGGCGGGAGAAAGAAAGGCAAGGAGAAAGAAGAAAGAGAAAGGGTAAGCACCTGCTAAGCTTGTTTTTAGAGGCATATTCAGGTAAACTTCTCCAAATCCAGTTTAGAGCGGAAGCGCCAGGTGACAGACATATCCTGGTCACTGAGCTGCCCTAGCAGCGAGCATTCGGGGACTCTACACTCTGGTGGCTCTACCTGGAGCTGAGGTGCCGAGAAGGTTGAGGGGTAACTGGCAGGCCGAGTGCGATGAGAATCCCACTTTAAGATGATGGGAAAAGGTCAGAAGTTGGCCTTACCCAGCGTGGCCATGCCCAGCAAAACTCTTCTTTAAGAGCCCGACCCCGCGCGGTAGACTAAGGAGGTCTTCCAGGTTCACCTAAGAACAGAACGACCCACAACCTGACAAGCTGACAGAACCTCGTCTTACAGGCGCCTCCAGCGCTGCGCAGCCGCAGTGTGGCTGATCTAGCCCTGCCATCCCTGACGTCACAGACCCCTCGCCCCCTGGCAGGATTTGTGGGCGGGCACGAGGCTCCGTGACGCATGCGCGTTTGCTCGGCGTAGGTGGCGCTGGATCCACCTGAGGAGGTTGTGGGGTGACGGCGCGGACGCCATTTTGTCGGTGTTTGTCGCAGCGGCTGGAGAGAAACGACGGCGGTTTGGCGAGATTTCTCGGCCAGAAGGCCTTTTGCTTTTGCGGAGGTGAGGTGGGCAGTGTCGCGCAGAACTAGGTGCCTGAGGAAAGAGTGGGCTTTGGGCGTCAGCACCCGAGGATCCGTCCGCGGGGCTGGCGGGGTGCCTCTCAGCCAGCGGCGACAACACCCGAGCTGCCGCGGCTTCGCCGCTCGAGTCAAGGCCCGCAGGCCCCGGGTTCGGCCGACGGTGCTGTCCCGCAGCTCCGGCCTCGCTCACCTCTTGTCAAGGCCTCGGCCGTCCATCGCAGGCATCATCAGGGAGCCCCTTGGCGGGTCGCATTCCCGGTGCTAGTGTCGTCCGGAGTCGAGTCACCCAGACCCCTACTCACCCTTCTCGACGGCCTCAGCCGTTTGCATAACTGGAGGCTTTTCCAAAGTGCGATATTCGCCCTGTTCTGTAGCTCTAAGGGCCCTGGCCAGCTGCCCGGGGGAGGTAGGGCAGGCACTGCGGCGATCCAAGTGGCTGGAGTTCACCTCCAGCTTCGAGGAACACACTTGGGAAGGAAGGTTCGTCCTTCGTGTCAGGTGGTCACCCCACCCCCAGTCCCCTAGACCTGGGTCTCGCCGATTGCCCTGGAACTATGTAGACCAGGCTGGACTCGAACTGCAGAGATTCTGCTGCCTCTGCCTCCCGACTGATGGGATTAGAGAGCGAACATTGCATTTCCATTGTGACAGCCCTGTTGCTGAAGTAGCCAGCCCTATGGTCTAATGTTAAAGCTGCAGATGTTTGGCCTAACTTTGAACACGCACCCGAGGGTCTTTTGTTCCCCCACTTAAATGGAAGACCAAAACTTCTAAAACGTGGTGGAGAATCATATTTCTAATATGAACATATACATATGGGTTCCATTGTATCTTTTACTGAAATAATATCGAGGGTTGTGGCATGCGTTTAAGTATTGGAGATAGTAATATTTTGAGGTAGCTCTTCTTTCCTGTGTATGAGAAGGAACTTTAATCTCATGAGCTCAGAAATCTTTTACTTTGCCTTGTAAGTAAATATTTCTTTGTTCATTGTTTTTGAAGCCTGTGCAGACCAGCCTGTCCTTGAACTCTCTCAGAACTCCACTTGTCTCTGCCTCCAGGGTGGCATGTGCCACCACACCTGACTAAGAAAATTATTTCCAAACTTTGCTAGAGATCAGAGTAGGTATGGGGGGATGTTCATCGGGGCCTGTTGGGACTGGGACCCACTGATAGGTGGGTTTGCATATTAGTAATTTGATAAGTTGAGATTTGTTTTCTGAGAGGTAAACGAGCTGTAGCAATGTGAAGTGGAGGGGGGGGGAATTTGAAGCAAGCACCCAAGTCTTGTGAAACCCTAATGGCCAGTTATACTGATGAGTCACCAGATACTGTACATTGGACTGCTGTTTTTTAAGAGTGCATAGCCTACTGTAGCCAGTGGCTTGTGATTCAGAATTCAGTTCCCAAAGAAACAGAGAAAAAAAGCCTTAATCAAACCAAAACCTTAAATACAATTTTGATAATAGAAGGAATGTGCCAGCAGAATTCCAGTGGAAATAGGAAGATGAGTGTGTCTCTGAAGAAAGCTTGAGTTTTGGCTTTTGTCTCAAGCAAATTTGCAGTGTTGTCTATTTTTACTTTACCATATTAAAATGACTATCAAAAGGAATGCTTGGCTTACTTTTACCAAGATACCTAACAAAAGTTCAGGATGTGTGTGTGTGTGTGTGTGTGTGTGTGTGTCTTAATCCATGCCTTCTCATTTTTGACTGAGCTAAAAAAGAAGCCACATTATCAGAAAGATGTCTGGCAGGCATAGAATTAGAAGAAAAAATACAGTTTACTGAATATTTGGACAGGGGGTATGTAGGTCAGTGGTAGAGTCTTGCCTAGCAATTAGGAACCTCCTCTCCCCTCATTACATCCTCAGTTGTCAGGAAATAATAATAATATCACACCCTGATGTTGCGATGCACACCCTTTCTGAGGAACACTTGGAAGAGAACTTAAACTGCCTTCTTTGCAAGCCTGGGGTTTAATAGATTTGTTAGCTTATTTTTCAGTCATTTAGGCAAGCTGAAGTCAGTCGACTAAATAGTTTTGTTCCATTTGGGCCGTATTCAGCTTCTTTGGGTTTTTTCTTCCCCCAAACCACTAAACTCTGCTTAACAGAGTTCAAAATTAAAGATTTAACTTTGGAACTGGAAAGACTGCTCTTGTAAAGGATCTTTAGTCTTTAGGGCATCCTATGCCCTCTTGTGGTGTCCATGGGCAACTGCACTCGTGTGCAGATCTTCCCCACCCACCTCATTCCCATTAAAAATAAAGTTAATCTTTTAAAAAATTAATTTAGGGGAGCAGAGTGGTTGATGCTGCGCACCTTTGATCTCTGAGACCCACGTGATGAAAGGAGAGAATTAACACTGGCATGTGGCAGTCATATTCGTGTAAAAGGATAAATGTTAGATACTGAGCCTGGAAGAAATCCATAGGAGGTTGGAGATAAAGTATGGGAGTCGTTACCATTATCTGATGTCACTGGCATTTAGAGAATGGAGCTCTACAGAGTTTGAGGGAAAAAAAATCTAATTAATGAAAGGTTCTTTATCTTTAAACCAATTTGCTTGCTTCTCTCACTTTTAATTATTTGTATTAAACTTTGCCAGACTGAAGGACATTTATGATACTGTTGGGGTAGACTATCACTAACTATAGTTGTAGGTGTTATTCTTATATTCAGGTCTGGCCAGGAGGTGGTGACACATGCCTTTGATTCCATTATTCTCAAGGCAGAGGCAGGTGGATCTCTGTGAGTTTGAGGCCAGCCTAGTTTACAGAGCTAGTGCCAGACAAGAAACTTCTTGTCTCAAAGGGGAAAAAAAAATCTGTGTGCATTCATTTCAGTCTTGATTTTTAAAATCCAAATTGAGAGATGGGGAATATAGCTCAGTTGGTAGAATTATTAACATTATAAATGACCTGATTTTAAAAATCAGCATAAATAGAAGGAAACAAAACAGTCTTTTGAGTTGGGAGTGCACATGTACATTCTGTTCCGTGTGCAGGCCAGAGGTCAACATGGGATGTATCCATGGGTCCCCACATTTTTCAGGAAAGGACTTTCATCGAACTTGGAGCTTACCAGTTAAGCTAGACTGGGCTGGCCAGTGAATTTCAGGGCTCCATATGCCCCACCCCAGCTGCAGGCCTGGAGTTACAGGTCTGTGCTATGGTGCCTGGCTTTTTATGTGGGTATAAGTAATCTGAACTCAGGTCTTCATACTTACACAGCAAGCACATTACTGAGTAATCTCTCCTGCCCTTGAACAATTTTAATTGGCCCTTTTTAAAAAAGATTAAATAGCCAGGTGCATTGGCAGATGCCTTTAATACAGCACTTGGATGGTAGAGGCAGGCAGATTTCTGAGTTTGAGGCCAGCCTTGTCTACAGAGTTGGTTCTAGGACATCCAGGGCTAATTGAGAAACCTTGTCTCAGAAAAACAAAAACCTAAAGTTAATGAGTAGTTCTGAGGAAAGTTAATGAGTGGTTCTGAAGGCAAGCACTAAGTTGAGAATTTGTCCTTGTACTATGTAGTGAAAAAAACATATTAGAGGCTCCGTGCTGTCCATCATTTAGTAACTAGGGTCAGTACCATTCAGCATCATGTCACATAGGAGTGGTATTGTGTTCTAAGCTTTGGGAAATGTACCTAAGAGCCTTTGTAACCCTGTGTATGAGGTGTTCCTATTCAAGCAATGATAATGTATAGTTATACAACCATCTTTAGCTTCCCACTCACCCTCACCCTCCTTCTTGTTAACAGATGCGGCATTCCAAACGAACTCACTGTCCTGATTGGGATAGCAGAGAAAGCTGGGGCCATGAAAGCTACAGTGGAAGTCACAAACGGAAGAGGAGATCTCATAGCAGTACACAAGAGAACAGGCATTGTAAACCACATCATCAATTTAAAGATTCTGATTGGTAAATGACTTGTATTTTAAGTTTTATCAGTTTGTCATTTGCTTATATAGCTTCTATCACATTTGGAATTCAGACATATTTATTCCTTCAAAAAAAAAAACAGTTAACAGAGTATCTTAGGCTAGTTTCTATACTGCCTAGACTAAAGCTGTGAATATCACATTTGGAATTCAGACATTTATTCCTTCAAAAAAAAAAAAACAGTTAACAGAGTATCATAAGCTAGTTTCTATACTGCCTAGACTAAAGCTGTGAATAAGATAGTTTGTCCTGTGTCTGTCTGGAGTTGATGGGAGACAGTAGCTTAGCAAGTGACTAAAACTAATGGCTCTGAGGATGTACTTCAATGCCTAGAACACTTGTATTTATTATGTGTAAGGTCCCCAAATCCTTAGAAACCCCTCCATTGAAAAGGGGGAAGGAAGTCAAAAGATTGTATTCAAGAACATACACAAAGTTGAATAATGATACCCAGTGAGTGGTTTTAACTGTCCATAGGAAGGTGGCATATATATTTGGGTATACAAGAAGTGTTTCACAATTGAGATGTCATAGAAAGTAGTAAATCAGATGAGAAAAGCAGCAGATGCTATCTGAGACCGACCGTTAGAGTGCTTTGAGGGTTAGCCATTCATGTTACATCTACAGGTCATATTTATAGAATATTAATGGATATGTCTGTCTGAGATTTTTAGAAACTTGCTTTATATTTTGAGAATTGTTTCTACAGGCATTCTCTGATAATTTAGGAAAGAGCCTCAATAAAAATTTGTGATAGTATATCTTTTTTTATTATAATTATGATATAAAATTTGGAGTAATATGTTTATATAGAATTAAAAGAATCTTAAAGTTCTGAATATAAAGAAAGGCTAGGTGAGTAGTTTCTTTCACTCTGCCTTCCATTAATTTCCCTTTCTCATTTGTTTTGTTGGTTCTATGTTTTCTCCTTGTTTGTACAGATGTTCCATTGGGGCTGTTTACCAGATTGCTTTCTAAATTAGCCAGCTGGGGTTACTTTAAAAAACAGTATGTAATTTTTTTTCCTTCTCCATGCTAAACAGAGTTGTCTGCCAAAGAGCTTGTTTGTAGTTCTTGTAAACTAATCATGTTTTATCAAACAGTTATGTAAGGGGTACTGGGTAAGGTTATGGCACGATTCAATGGCTAGACCTTATTAATGAGCACTCTACAAATGGTACCCCATTATTAATGAGTACAAGATACTCTAAGGCTTACCATCTTACAACTAATTATACATAGTGCTAGAGTATATTATATATGTGAAAAGGTTGATTTGAGTGATTTTGTGTTCATAATAATTATAGAAACCAGTCAGTCCAATTAATCACTAAGCCAGTACTATCATCTTTGACATTGACATCGGAAAAATTTGGTGATTATTATTCATCATAATCCAGACTATTCATTAGTAGTAAATACTCTTTTTGAAAATTTTTTTATTTTATGAATATTTTAATAAAATTACTGGGAAATTGAAGAAGCAACAAAGTGTAAACAGGAGCAGCAGTATGGAAGAAACCATTGCCCATTGCTTGACTGAATTATTTCTGTCTGTTCCTAAGGGATCTTTGTGTTCAAATCTTTGCCTGTGATTATTTCCTGAGAGTAGATACTAAGAAGAGGCATTTTCAAGTTAAAGGGTATGAAGTTTTATAAGGTTCTTGCTGCATATTCTCATTTCTTTTTCTAGAAATAACATGCTCCTTGGTGCTGTCTCTAGTTTTATCTGTTTTAAATGGTTTTCTTAATCTGAATTTCTAAATTTCTAGTGAATTTGTTCAGATTTTAAAAGAATTTCTATGTCACTTGTTTTCTGCTAAAGTATATCTTACTGATTTACAAGATGTTTTTATTATGTATTATTTTAACCCTTTGTCGTATGCACTATAAGACATTTTTCTCCTGATTTGTCTTTTGGCAGTAGTCTTTTAGTTGGTCTCCCTTTCAGCAGGTTTAATCTATTCTGCCTCAAAAACCAGGAAGACCAACATGGCTGTAAATAACATACATCTATAAATATATGTGTATATATATGTATATATTGTGGCCAAATCCTTCAGTGTCTCCCTGAAACAGAGTACCAAGTTTTAAACCTTTGATAAACTTCATATGACTAGAAATCACCTAGGAGGTGTGCAGACTTAGAGTTAGAACTGAGTCTTCATTTACAGACTCTATATTCAGTATTAGTGCTGATAGTCCTTTCAAAAACACCTTTAGTGTAGTGTGTACAGGGCTTCTCGTGACATAGTCTCCTGGGTGAAAATTGGTTCTTGATGCTGTCTGCAGAGTAGATAAATGCATTTTAAGCCTCTGACTGGTGGTGCTGTTTGCATAAGTGTAAGACGGCATTATGCTGGTCTGGAATTTTTTCTGCTTTCCACTTTGTCCAAATCCTGGCTTTCCTTTAAGATGCTTTTCTGCTTCCATCTTTGTCGTGAATTCTTCCTTAATAATTTTAAGCAAATTGAATTCTTTGCCTTCCCTGAGTCTAAATGTTCATTTGCACCTTTTCAACAGTTTTTGCATTTGTCTATTTTGACTTTCTTTTTCTTCTTTCTTTCTTTCTTTCTTTTTTTTTTTTGTGAGTAATCTTAAATTGTTCATTTGTTGCCTTAGATGATTTTGTCTTTCACAGGACCTATGTGGAAATTTTCAAAAGCCAATTCACTTAACAGTTTTACTGAACATTTAGTCGATATTTTTTAAAAGATCAAATCTGTTTATTCTGTCTACCATGTCCACAGCTTGTATAAATCTATAGTCTTTAATCTCTAAACTTTGGTCTTTGGTTGTCATAAATTGGAAAGGTCCTTCTCATGCTACCTCTGCTCACGATAGTATCATCACCCCATTTTTTATTGTTGGTAGATTGTTTTGGATTGCCAGCAGGGCCAGTTTCATGTAGTATTCCTATTAAAGATTATTATTAGTCTAGTTTTTTATGATAGACTTTGGATTTGGTGGGTGTGTGATACCTTATAAAATTAAATAGGATGCCTGTAGAAGTATGACTAGCTTCTTGTTTTTCCTCTAGATCTCTGCTTCAGACCAACTGTCTCAGGCCCAGAGTTTAATCCTGATAGCCTGACTTGTTTCTCCAGAAATTAAGAAGAACTTGAGAATGATGCTAGGCAATAAGAAGGCCCAGCCTGAATTAGGTGCCAGTCTTGTTGGGCAGTAATCCTAGGGATGTCTCTATTTCTGCTTAAACCAGCACCTGGGAAAGAAAATGACAGCATATTCTGGGGAGTATAAAGGGGTTGGTGGGGGCAGCTGCAGCAACATCTGTCACTCCATTGCTTGTCAGGATTATTTAGCTGATTTGTCTGACTGGGCAGGTGTCCCCTCTCTCCCCCAGTGCTCCATGTGCATCCCTCTTGAAGCTTCGCACTCTGTTGAAGAGGACACTCATCCCAGGTAGAGGGGGGATGGGAAACTGGGCCGATTGAATCTGTCTTTTTCTTTCCATCAGATCAGGACACTCAGCTGGGATCCATTGACTTCCTGAGGTCCATGACCTCCATGAAGTTCTTGCCAAGTTTTGTTTATGCATTCGTACGTTTCTTGGGGAAAAGGGTCTACAACTTCCGTCAGGTTCTCAAAGGAATCTGTAGATGCACTGTGGCACTAGAAAATGCTGTTTGCTGTTTCTTGGGTATTTTTAAAGCAAGAGTCACAGGAAATTAGAAAGACAAGAAGAGCGGGAGGATGTCCACAGTCCTGGACCCTTTCTTGTGTGGAAGGTCTGTTTAGATGTGTTTGGTACACTAGGCAGGCCTCAGAAGTTCTGGTCTCTGTTTCTTAAACAGGAGTAACAGAAAGCTTAGACACGGAAAAGAGGAGATAGAATAGGTGACATAGGACAGTAGTGGCAGTTTGAAAATATCTTAGTTTTTGCCACTAGTAAGCTCTGCAACAATACTATGTATCATTTAGGGATCTTAATTGAGTTTTAGTAAATGAAAGGACTGAAAGATACTTAAAACTCCTCATATCTGTGATACACATTCTGGAAGAAGTCTCTGTCAGGGATATTTAAAATGCTTTTAATTTAAGGGAAAGGAGTCCTCTTTTGCCTTTCTCTAAATTTGTGGCTCTGAAAGGAAAGGAAGCTAGTTTCAGATGCCTATGTTGTACAATCGATCAGTGCATTTCAGAATAGGTTCACAAGTTTGGTCTTGACTTTTTAGATGGTAAAGGAACATTTAATCATAAGCATATTGTAATTGAAGCTTTGTTCCTTGGTATGAAATGGTTGACAGCAATTTTCTAATGTATGGGATTTTTTTTTGAGATGGTTTCATGTGGCCCAGACTGGCTCCAAACTTGTAGTGTACCTCAGGATGGCCTTGAATTCTTGATCCTCCTGCCCTTAACCTTCCAAGTGCTGAGATTAAAGTCATGTCTGGCTATAGCAATTTTATATGGAAAAAATATGGACCTATTTGGTTAAAAATTATTTCTTAAGCTTTCCTAGATACATATAAATTTCAACTCATTGATTTGAATTTTTCCTTTTATTGAGTTAGCTGTTTAAACCAAGAATTCTTGAAAGTTTTGTTTGAACTACATTATTCCAGAATGAAGAGAATAATTTGAAATCCTTTAATGTGTTCGCAGTCACTATTTAGAAGCAAGATGCTTGAATGAGAGAGATTATCGGGACCGGAGATACATTGATGAATACAGAAATGAATACTGCGAAGGATATGTTCCAAGACATTACCATAGAGACATTGAAAGCACTTACCGGATCCATTGCAGTAAATCCTCAGTCAGAAGCAGGAGAAGCAGCCCTAAAAGAAAACGTAATAGACACTGTGCAAGTCATCAGTCACATTCGGTATGAGTGATTTGTTTTTATTTTGAATGGATTGATTGTAAAGCTCTAAAAGAGTGATAAGTTTCTAAAAGTTTCTTAATGCAATTTGGATATGCTGTAATTATATTCATGTTACTGGAATTCTTAAAGGAAGTGTACACATTCTCATAATTGACCACCTGTGTATTAGTTACTCTTCATTTTGGCCACACACTCATTCTGCAAAACAGATCATGAGTTTGTTGGTTTTAATAGTAAGAACATCTGATTTTGTGGTTGTATAGTTTATTAAAAAATGAGGCACCCACCCATTTTTTTCTTCTTTGAATGTAAAAATTTTTTTATTTTGAAAGAAACTGCTTTACTGGCAGTTGGAAACAACTCAGTCAAGTCACACTGCTGGGGTGTTTAGCTGTTGCCAGCCCCTGTGTATGTAGTCTAGCTCCTAGTACAGCACATCATTGTCTGCGTTAATTTGCTGAAGTTGTGAACCTGGGTGCTGAGTGGAAAATGTACTGAGAAAGCTAGACATTATTTATTTGTAAACTTTGAGATACCATTTCCCTCCCCCAAGTTTTTTCTATAGAGCTAGCAGATCCTAGATGGAAGATTGAAATTAGTCTTTACTTCCCCCTCTTACTATGATGATGTCCACTTTTAAATGTTGCTAAAAAGAGAACAGTTTCAACTAATCTTGACATTTTCCTGACTAACTAGACAACTCAACTCACAGCATATGGTTATAGCAGAAATTAGTAAATCGTGACATTGCATTCTTTAAACTTCAGACTTCAATTAAATCAGTATTTTAAAGAGACAATTGTGTTGTTTTTTTCTATTGCCACTTTAAGTATCTTATCTGAAAATCTGTTCCTTGCCATGTTTTTCTTCTGTAACATAAACTGTGCCCTGTGAATTTCTGGGGACTGAATTTGAAATTGCTCCTGCCAACTGTTCGTGGCCTGGTGCTTATCTGAATGCCTGAATATCTCCCCGCTGAATGAATTGCGTATTCTGCCCTGAATTCACTCTGATATATTGATTGGCTGGACGATCTTGGTGCTGCCCACTTGCCGTTCCAGAAGAGCCACCGAAGGAAAAGATCCAGGAGTATAGAGGATGATGAGGAGGGTCACCTGATCTGTCAAAGTGGAGACGTTCTAAGAGCAAGATGTATAGAATATTTTTCAACACTTTTTAAACTTTGCAGACAGAATAATCTTTTAAAGAATAGTTTGTCAGCGGGGGGCTAAAGACTCTTCATTACTTTTTTGTTTTGTTTTTTGTGGGTTTGTTTGTTCTTTTGTATTTCTTCTTTTCTGTAGAATTTAAATATTTGTATTCTTAAAATTCCAAAATAATCAGAGGAGTTTGAGATTAGAGCAAGACAGATAGCTCTATCTAATTGCTTTGTAGCAGCTGAAAAAAATACAATAACTTGAGCGATGAAACCTTAGTTATGCTTTGCTAAAGATCATTTGGAAATATGCCACACTTAAGCATTCGTTGTTTGAACAGCTGGATAACTGTGCTTAGGTACTTAGACCTCTCTTTCTCTCCCTTACTTTAGATGAAATCGTGGACACTTTAGGTGAAGGGGCCTTTGGCAAAGTTGTAGAGTGCATTGATCATGGCATGTAAGTTTGCTTTTTCCTTTTTGAACATTCTGCTATGTCTTACAATGTATTTTAAGTGCTTGGTACAAGTTTTCTCGAGAGGTATTCAACAAAATTTCTGAAACTTTATAATGTATATGCCATGAATATTAATTTTGTTGTAAATGGGGACAGTTTCTCTCAGGTGGAGGTTATTCTGTAATTAAAGGAATGCTCAAACAAGTTCTGTAGCATTTAGCTGCTTTTGGATTGCAGCATCAATAAAATATATCTAAATTTACATATTAGAGTGCATTTCCTGAACTACAGATTCTATTAAGACATACAGAATAAAGTCTGTATTCTCTGGTGAGATAGACTGACCTACCTCATTGCACCATGTCCCATCAAAACCTCTGATTTGTGGTTTTACACTTTTTGTAAGTAAACTAAAAAACTTAATTGAAACTACACATTTCTAAAATGACATCTAATTTTTTTTTCATCAGAAATAGTTGGAAAGCGTATAATTTGTTAACTTACTGTGTATATCAGTAATTTTGAAAATAAAGTTTGTCTTTAAATATATTTGGTAACTCTTAATATCATAGCTCCTTGTTATCCATAAACTGTTTGAGTTCACACTTGGAAATGTAGTTTTACCCTTTATATTTGGAAATGTTTTATTGTTGATCTTGGTTGTGACTTAGTGGTACAGCACTTGCCTAGCATGTGCAAGGTGCTGTTTCAATTCCTAGCCAAAAAACATTTTAGCCCTAAATGTACTTTCATACCATTTTCCATGATTTTCTCAAAATACTGAGTTTATACTTTTTAGGAGTATTCCTGGAAATGCCCCAATCCAAAGCCCACTGTCATCGATCTAGCTAGCTCTTTCTCCATACTTGCATACAGTGAGCCTGTAAGGTGCTGGGGTGGAGGAACGTCGTAATGTGTAGTGCTGTCTTTACCCAGCTGTTTGATTCTTACACAGCCTGACAGCTGTCTCACAGCTATCTTTCAGGACCAATTCTTATTGTTGTGTAAATTGCTACTTTATTGAATGAACAGTTGGAGCTTCATCTCTTGTGAGAATGTCTTAATGTGCTCATCTGTCTTTGTCATTGAAATGCGGCACAAAGGAGTAGGTCGAGTTGTTTAGTAATTAGCTCCTGTTCCTTGTCTCTAGCACAGAATAGGTCCAGCCTAGTAAATGAACAAATGCTTTGAACATCAGCATACTGTGATCCTTAGCGTGGGTGTGTATGTGTGGGGGTGTGTGTGTGATTTATTTTTAAATGTTTTGCATAAGATCCAGATAAAATTTTAAAAACAAATATTAAAATTTCTAAATATTACATGGATGGTTGCTTTGTTTTGGAAAGATGATCTGGAACCTAATATGGGCTCTGAAAGATGTAGAACAATTATATGGAAAACTTGTAATTACAATTGTATTTTAGAAGGCTGAGGTAGGAGTATCACAAGTTCAGTGGCAGTCGGGGCTACATAATGAGTTTAAGCACAGCTTGAGCTATATAGAGTGAAATCTTGTCTCAAAAACAAAACAAAAAAAGAATGCTTTTCACAGGGTATGCAGTTTCATCCCACCACTTGTATTTTTAACTTCATCATCTTTTGTTTTCAAGGGATGGCTTACATGTAGCTGTGAAAATTGTAAAAAATGTAGGCCGTTACCGGGAGGCAGCTCGCTCTGAAATCCAAGTATTGGAGCATTTGAACAGTACTGACCCCAACAGTGTCTTGTAAGTACACATTGAACCACAAGCCATCATACTGTGTGAGCTCCTCACTTCTGTGTACTCAGTTATTATTTTGATCTCTTTTAGCCGATGTGTCCAGATGCTAGAATGGTTTGATCATCATGGTCATGTTTGTATTGTATTTGAGCTGCTGGGACTTAGTACCTATGATTTTATTAAAGAAAATAGCTTTCTGCCATTTCAAATCGATCACATCAGGCAAATGGCTTATCAGATCTGCCAATCTATAAATTGTAAGTATCATGAACACACAGTATATTTTATTGTCTGTATTATCTAATCAGCATATGAACACTTGCAGGTTACAGGTAAAGCTGACATCCCTTTTGACCATCATTTCCACGCCTCATCCCTTTTCACTCACCTGGCACCAGGTAAATCTCTAAGTGAGACTAATGATGGTTTTCTGTTTCCTTTATAGTTTTACATCATAATAAATTAACACACACGGATCTAAAACCTGAAAATATTTTATTTGTGAAGTCTGACTATGTAGTCAAATACAATTCTAAAATGGTAAGTTAAAGACTTGTTTTAATTTTGTCTTTAAAATTAATTTAGCTTTGAGATCCTTGAATGAGGAATTTTGCTTCTGAGCCTATGTATATTCTGATGTTCATCCACAAATGGAGTATGAATAGGATGTGTATATCCCAGTTAGGGACAGAGGGGAAGGAGGGTGGAGAAGGGAGGGTTCATGTGCAAGCCTTTTGAGGAGTGCTATAGAATGTTTTATGTCTTTGTTGAGTTTCATCTTTATTCAATTGTGTCTCCAGAAACGAGATGAGCGCACATTGAAAAACACAGATATCAAAGTTGTTGACTTTGGAAGTGCAACATATGATGACGAACATCATAGTACTCTGGTGTCCACAAGGCACTACAGGGCTCCAGAGGTCATTTTGGGTTAGTAGTCACCAGACTTCTTGTATTTTTAATTGTTGAAGGTCATGATTAACTAAAATGATGTTAGGAAGATACAGAGAAGAGTTTTGCATGTTTCTCCTATATGACCATGTTTGTGAAAGATACTCTGAGTGCTGATGATTTATGATTCTTAATTGATCATTATAACATGGTGGCTATGCTTGGTGAGAGTATCATAGTCTCATGATTGTAAGGTTAGGTAGCCACCTGTTTTCACTCCACTGCCAAGGTAAGGCTCTGTCTGGTACAGATGCCAAGAGCTTGGTTGGCTCTTGAAATAGACATAGAGCAGGAAGAAAGGGAGGGACTAGAGAGTCTCTGTGTTAGCCATGGTGGGAGAAAGCTGGAAGTGGAAGGTAGAATTTTGGAACTCAGGGAGCATGTGTTATCCTTCAAAACGTAGAAGTCACTGGTAGGATTGGGAGCTTGGAAACAGGACAGATTAGGTGCTATTATTGATACTAATCTGAAGTTGGAGTCACTGGAAAAGGAATCTAGAGACTGGGGGAATAGAATACTATTTGTGTGGGTGAAGTTCCCTAGGATGAAGGCAGATTAGAGAGGAAGATGTAGTTGAATGCCACCATATAGAGAAAGAAGTTGCTTTAGACATTAATAGTCAGGTAATGTTGGGAAAGGGGAAGAAAAGTGAGACTAGATTCCAGAGTATCAGAAGTAGTTCACTGAGGAATGGGGTGAAGAGCTGCAGTTAACCCCCTGAGGAAAAGAATATTGAGGTGTAGTGATTGAAGAAGAAAACTTGTATTTGAGCCTAAGCTCTACTGTCTACAGATGTAAATGTATTGCTATGTAAGTTTCCCAATGGTGAGCATTGTAGAATGAACAAAAGTGACTAAATCAGGGCCAGCACCAACCTATAATTCTGCCACTTATAAGACTGAAAAAGTGCCAAGTTCCAGACCAGCCTGAGCTACATGTACTAAAGATGTAAATTCTGAGGTTGCTGTTGTGGTCTCTGAGATAGACTATAAAGAGTACACACATGTGGGGAAGGGTCAGCAGTTTAAAGTTGTTGGGTATAACATGCCTGTGTTTTGAATAGCTTTAGGTTGGTCTCAGCCTTGTGATGTTTGGAGCATAGGCTGCATTCTTATTGAATATTACCTTGGGTTCACAGTCTTTCAGGTATGTATTTAGTACATTTTATTTGATGATTTATAATGAATTTTATGTTAAACATGCTATAGTTAGCATCCATATTGGATATTTGCCATAGATCATCATTGAAATTAAACCGTAAATATCATACTTCTGAAACCACAGTTGATTGAATTTCTACTACTAGTGAGGTTGTAACTTGTTTCAAATATATATCATATTTTTTAACATGTAGTTCATGTAGAGTTCATATTATGTGTTATAGGGTTTTTTTTATTTCATAAATTTACATTGGTGTTTAGTGTGGCTAGTTACAATTCTGCTCTGGCTATGTTAACCTTGTTTCTAAAAACATATGTATTAATAAAGCATTAAAATGTGGAACTAGCCAGGCATGGTGACACATGCTGATAATTCTATCACTCAGGAGGCTGAAACAGGTGGATCAAGATTATGAACCTCAACTGTATAGTGAAATTAAGGCTGGTCTTGGCTACAAAAGAAATCTGTCTCACAGAACAAATTATGCTCTCTAAAACAAAGATTGGCAAATGGTGTGCTGTTGTGAAAGTACTCCCTGCTGCCTATTAAAGAGAAAAGGTCTCTTGCTAATAGTTCACCCTGAAATGTTTTTGGTCTGGCCCTTGAGAGAAAAGTTAGCCAGCTAGTCTAGAGGCACCATTTCACCTGTGTGTACAGCTGCTGCTTTTCCGACTGAGCTAGCACCAGAGCTCTATGCTGCATTAGTTTTAAGAGTAAGGTCCTTGACTTGGGTATGTTGTCAGCTTTACTTATTTGTGAGCTATGTGCCTTTGTCATAATCTCCTTAAAGTCACATTAATGTTAGTAAGTGATCTAGTTAAATAGTTCATGAAATAGAAATTGTTGCATTTTATGTTAGATGCTTTTCATGTTGACTACCATATAAACCTCCCCAGTTTATCTTAGACTGTATAGTGCTTGCACCAGACAAAACAGCTCTTTCAGTGTCATCCATCTTTGAAGAATTCATGATGTAAATTGTGTAGCTGGCTAGTCTGGCCTTTTTGTTACTGATTATGCTTATTTATTGGGGGTGGGTGCACACATGTGGAAGACAACTTGTAGGAATTGGTTCTTCCATCATGGGGGTCCCAGGAGTCGAACTCAGATTGCTGATCTTGGCAGCAGGGGCCTTTTACCCATTGAGCCATCTCTCTAGCCTTAGTCTTTTTATATCAGCCCATATTTTATTTTCTTTTTTATGTGCATGTAAGGAAGGTAAAGAGCGCTAAATTCCTTTTTCCTGAATTTTTTTAGACTCATGATAGCAAAGAGCACCTGGCAATGATGGAACGGATATTAGGACCCATCCCAGCACATATGATCCAAAAGACAAGGTTTGTCTAAGATGCATGCAGTAGCCTTTGCTTAGACTATAATAGCATAATGCTTATTATAAGGACTACAGATTTTGAAGTAAAAAGAAATTCTGTAGAAGTAATAACATGTAGCTAGCAATAAAAGGTCATTTACAGAAAATAATTCAGTATTTTAATTTGTGCTCTTGTGGAGACAGGGGCTTTAGTACTCGGGTTGACTTTTATGTAAATGTTTCTCTAAGTTGATAAAACCCAATACATATGAGAGCCCATTCTTACTGAAATCAGTCAGTCTTGTTTGGATTTCCTGTTGTTGCAAGCCTACTCTGCACCCTTGAACAGGATACTGTAGTGTTTCCTAGCTCATCTGGGAAGCTGTTAAAAATTTCCTTCCCCATTCCAGATCTGGTGAGATCAGAATTCACAGCCTGGAGTCATCCCCTTTAAAGTGAGCATTTTCTTATTTGTGAATAACATAGTTGAGATAACTAAAATTCACCAGGGTAGATGAAAAAAGAAGATACTGTGTAAAATATCATGTATAATTGTTGCTGATATTTTTTAAATTATATACTAAATGTCTGTGTATTTAGTAAAAGATTTGTTTCTGTCTTGTCCCCACCAGGGGTTGGGCACAAGGTAATGTTGTAGAACTTTGATTATTTTTATTAATTTTGACTTTTTTTCTCTTGTAGGAAACGCAAGTATTTCCACCATAACCAGCTAGATTGGGATGAGCACAGTTCAGCCGGGAGATATGTTAGGAGACGCTGCAAGCCATTAAAGGTAAAGAAAAGAAGATAAGTGATTAAGTAACGTTTTCATTCATGTCTTCATTTAACAAGACCATCCCCTCGCCCTCCAGGAGTTTATGCTGTGTCACGATGAAGAGCACGAGAAGCTGTTTGACCTGGTTCGAAGAATGCTGGAGTATGACCCAACAAAAAGGATTACCTTGGATGAAGCCTTGCAGCACCCTTTCTTTGACTTATTAAAAAGGAAATGAATGGGACTCGGTGGTCTTCCTACATACTTCTCTAGGAGCAATTACTTTAAGACTGTGTCAGTCAACTAAATATTCTAATATTTTTGTAAACATTAAATTATTTTGTACAGTTAAGTGTAAATACTTGTATGTTTTGTATCAATAGCATAACTACCTTGTTAAGTATGGTGTTGATAATGAATGTAATATAAGAGTTAAAGTGAATCTTCCTTTTGATGTTAATTGCCATTTTTAAAAACCTTTAGAATGCCTTTTGTGTCCAGTGATAAACGTGATTGGTCTTGTCTTTTGTACATGAAGGTTGACTCTGAATTGATTTTTTTTTTCCTCAAGTAAAAGGAAATCTTGACCACTTTGTGATTGAGTATTCTTTATACACCTTAAATGTAGAACTTTCATGACAAAGGTGTTTTTTGGTTTTTTGGGGTTTTTTGTTTATTTTTGATTATTGAACAGGCGGCATTCTAGGTGGGCAGATTTTAAAACCCAAAACTCAGATTAGCTTGGTAAAGTTTCATTAAATTCTAAGTTTTCTGTTCTTTTGGGTGATAGCCCTCATGAAAAGACACCCCATTAGTCCATGACAGATTTTAATCAGGCCCCATACACTTAAGATTAAAATCTTAATTTTATATTGCAGACAGATTTGAGCTTTATTTGTCTATATTTCAAACCGCAAATTATGTGGAACTTTCTTCTGCATAACAAGTAGTAAAGCCAGGCTATACTGCAGCTGTCTAGAGGCAGTTTTCCCAGGACAGTAAGGTGAGGAACTTCCTGAAGACTATATAAGACTATATAGCCAGGAGTACCATAGAAAGAGTATCTAGGCTCCTCATGCAGTCCACATGTCAGCATATGCCACCTTCAGGAAAACCAGGATGTGAGAACATTTCTAAAGATGCTGTTTAAGGCTAGTCCTGAAATTGGCCTTTGCACACAATGTTTCTATTTTTGATTTTCCATCTCATTCTTCAGTCCAGTTCCGTGCTACCCTAAGCCTGTCTTTCCCCAGCGTGGGCTTCTGAGTCCCATCATCAGAAACTTTTCACAGGCTGACCCTGATGTAAAAGGAATGAAAAGCCATGTTTCTAGAAAGTTAATGGTTGCTTTTCAGGGCTGGAGAGATAGCTCAGCAGTTAAGAGCATGTACTGTACTTAGGACCACAGGTGTTCTTCCTGACACCATGTTGGACAACTTCCAAACACCTACAACTCCAGCTCTAGGGAATCCAGTACTGTCTTCTGACATCTGGGCAACTCCACCAATGTGCATATTCCCACACATACACATAATCATTTTCTCTTGTGAAAATTAACATTCTTCTTAAGATGTTGAGCCTGTGTTCTGATTCACATTTAGTAGTTAGAAGGAACAAGTAGTCAGGGTGCTACTTCTGTGGACGTTTAGGAAATATCCTTTGCCAACCATTCCCCCTTTAAGTCTCAGCTACCTGCTCTTAACTGCCTTATTCTGGTATTGGGACACTAATTTTCTGGAAAATTCCTGCTTTTTACAGTGTTTGCAGCTTCAGCACTAAAAGGAAAGGAGTCTTAGTTTGGAAAATACGTGAATATGGATCATTGTAATGGAGGTAATTTCTAACACTATTTAATTTGAATATTCCATATATCTCTCTACTCTCTTCTTTTATCCCATTTTCTCTATATTCCCTTCCATATATATATAATTTTTATAAGGAGAAATATGATGCTGAAAACATAGCTGAAAGTTTTAGCTGATAGAAATATACTTGAGTTATTGAGAGAGGCTGGTTCTATATTAGAAATTTTTTTAACATAAAGAAAAATGTTTTTAATGCAAGAATAGAATGAGTTTCCCCAAATATATAGCCCAGCTTCAAAACACTTGGAAGATTTTTAAATCAGTCTATGTTTAAATACAAATGCTAGCTACCATGTAATTTCATCCATAATTCTGTTTTCAACGAGTTTAAATATATTTGTATAATATCACTATCCTATCAAACATTAGCTTGGGCTGGCAAGATGGCCCAGTGGCTAAAAGCCTTTGCTGCTAAGTTGGACAAGTGAGTTTTCATTTATGTCTTGGTATACCTACACCTATACTCATACCTCCACCTAAGTAAATATAATTAAAACTTAGCAAAACAAAAAAGGGGGTTATTGTTTTGATACTTAGTCTAAGCTTATCTCAAAACTTAACCTTATACTCGATTGTTTTATATATATACGACCCAGCCAGGACAACATGTTGACATCTCACTGGCCTTTGCCCTCCCTGTTTTCATGACTGCTTTGATGCTTGCCCTGGGTGGTGTGTTGCTGGTAACTATGGTAAAACTAAGTGACTGTTCATAACAGCTCAGAATGCGCATCCTCAGACATATAAAGTCCTGCTGGTGTCACTATTTTTGTCTTAAGCCATTGAATCATGTTTTAGAGTTTTGATTTGAAAGGAGGTCTTACTTTATAGTTCAGGCTACCTCAAAATCCTCAGGGTAATTCTGCCTCATTCACTGAGCATGGGGCCAAAGCAAATAGTCTAGATTTTAGTAAGATTTAAGTTTTTGTTTTGGAGATAGGATAACATATAGCCTAGGTTGGCCTTGAACTTGCTGTAAGACTACATAAAACTATATAGCTATATGTAACCATACTTAGCTTTGAACTCCTGACCCTTCCTGCCCTACTTCCCAAGTGTGGTGTCACAGGCCAGTATTGCCACCAACCCAGCAAGAGGTTTTATATTCATCCAGAGAGTTAAGATCTTCTTTGTGTCAGTTCATATTCTCTAGTGTGGTTTTATTTCTGCCCCAAGTTGTTATTGCATTAACATTTCTCTTTACTGTGGCTGTAATGATGGTGGATTCTTTTAGCTTTTGTGTTTCTGAGAGTTTTCAACATCCGCTCTATAAGATAGTTTCATTAACTCAGGCTGGCCTTGAAGCCTTCAACTCATGTTCTTCCTGCCTCAGCTCCCTGAGTACTGGGATAAACAGGTATGTGTTAGGAAAGGCCCAAGTTCTTAGCACAAAGGAGATTTATTTGCTCCAGAGAGACAGAGGGCAGGGATAAGAGACAAAGACAGGAGATAGAGGATGAGGGAGAAGGGGGAGGGAGAAGTAGGAGGGCTGTGTGTTCCCTGGGGACAAAGGTCTATCTCTGGATAGGAGACAGATGGGGCACATAGAAAATGGCAGTTTACAAAGGTTCAAGGGGAAACCCCGTGTAAGGATAAGGTGTTTAACTCTAATTGTGCATGATACCAAAGGGGACTTTTGATTGCCGGACTTCAATACTTTGGTAGCTGAACCTTGATAGTCAGCCTGAGGAGGAGGAAGTAAGGGTGGCTAGCTTTAGGAATATAATTTAAAGGTTTTTAGCAAGGCAAAGGGGATGGAAGAGAAGGGCAAGGCCTGCCAGAGCCATTCGGTGCCATGTTCAAGCTGGCCAGAGTCCCTTCAGTATGTGTCATCAACATTGTTGTCATCCCCCAACCCCGTTCTGGCTGGCTCTGGAGTTCTGGTGGTTGAAATGGAAGGTTCTCTACCCTGTGGATTGTTGTACTGTGGCCAGGAAACCTATTTTGTTTCTTTGTATATGTTCTTTTATTCTAATGGCTTTTAAGTGGGTTTCTCTTTCCCACCCATCTCAAGCAACTTTTGATGTGCCTTGTGTGGTTGTCTTCATACTTCCTATGTCCTAGTTCTTTGAAGTTCTTTGAATCCATTGTAGTTGTTAGCAAATTTAGAGAAAAAAATCAGTCATTATTTGTTCAAAAATTTTCTGCCAGCTCCTCTTAGGAACAGCAGTTAAAATTTGGGCAAACGCTCAAAATCATTGCATAACCCACTGATGCTCTTGGGACAGAGAGTTTGGGGTTCCCTGCTCTAGTGTGCTCTGTACTGTTGCCTTGATAGAGTCTGTTACCAAACCTGGACCTAGGCTGACCTAGCCAACAGGCACACACAGTGCTGATATTATATCTGGCGTTTTCCATGGATGATGGGAATTCTAACACAGGTCCTCATGCTTGCAAGAACAAGCATTTTCCCCCTCTTCCATCCAGTGTATTTTTTTTAGGTTTGTGTGTTTGAGTGTTTTGCCTGTGTATGTCTGTACTGTGTGTATGCCAGCGCCCATGATGTCCAGAAGAGGGCATCAGAGCCCCTGGAACTTGAATTACAAATAGTCCTGTGAGTGCTAGGAATTGAATCCATGTTTTCTGCAGGAACAGCAAGTGCTCTCTTTCTTTACTTTTTAAAAGTTTATTATTTGTTTGCTTGCTTGTTTATTTTGTTTTTTGGAGACAAAGTTTCTCTTGTCTGGCCTGGAGCTCACTCTGTAGACCAGGCTGCCCTTGAACTCAGAGATCCACCTGCTTCTGCCTCCCAAGTGTTGGGATTAAAGGCATGGGTTTAATTTTTTTATTTTATGTATATGGATATTTTGTCTACATGTGTATCTGCATCATGTTCTTACAGTGCTAGAAGTGGGTGTTAGGTCCTCTAGAATTAGAGTTAACAGATGGTTGGTTGCAAGCCACCATGTGGATGCTAGGAAGCAAACCTGGATCCTCGGAAAGAGCAGTAAGTATACTTAACTGCTACGCCATCTCTCCAGCCCAGTGCTGTGATTTTTTTTTGTTTGTTTTGTCTTTAAAATCTCAAATTGTCATCTTCTCTAATTTGTTTTGGGTCTTTTTAAAAAGTATCTATCATGAGGCCCTTGCTTCATGCTTGAGCACGAGGAGTAGAGTCCTCGCTTTAATATCTTTGTCTACTAATGCTCTTGTCCCGCTGTCGCTGAGTTGCTGGAAAGCACATTCTCATCTCTCAATGCATCTTTTCCTCTGCTGTATGGTCCAGGAGTTTCCTGTTGTACGCTTTTCGTCTGGATATGCAGATTCCTGCATGTGTCAGCTGTTGCTTGAATCAAATTGATCTTTCCAGGTTTTGGTTTTAAGCTTTTAAGCAAGACCTAGGTCAGTGCTTGGTTTAGGATTAGTTTCCCCCACTGCATAAAGAAACGTTTGAGTGCTCAATGACTGAACTTTTCTGTACTTTAGGACTTGTTTGCATTTAGAATTCCAGTGGTCTGTTCTACTCCTACTCCATGGGAGCCTAGATCTCCAACCCTCTCCCCTGCGTCTCCAAACCACCCAACGCAGACTACCTTGCAGCCACTCAGCTCTTCCTCCTATATACCAGCCCTGGCTGAGGCCTTCCGTGTAGCCCAGGAAGTCACTAGAGGACAAGGACTTGAGTTCTCTCTGTTTCCCATCCCCCAAAAACCTTCTTTCTGTTGCCTGATGCCCAGTGCCTTGCAATCTGCCATGTAGTTTACTGATTTTGAATGGAGTGTAGCTAA